GCTCCGAAAAAAATCCAGCATGCTCAGGTTGTGACAGTTGGTCACAGGTAAATGCTGTATGTTGTTTAGAAGCAGGTTGTATGTTGTGGATTAAGGTGGTGACTCAGGAAAACATGCAGAATGCGTATCTACTCACTTTATTCAAACAAAAACAAAGGAACAAGAGAACGCTGGAGAAATGAGATACATGCAGTGACAAGCAAGGGGAACAGGGGAGCATAAAAACACATGGTAATCAGGAAAACAAGGGCATGCACAAGTGATGAAGATCAACATAATTAAAAACAAGTGGAGAATAGTGATACAGGAGACACAAAGGGAAACAGAGTTGAAACAGTGGGTGATTTTTGGGAGCCAATGTTTACTTTTAAAGCTAACAAACACTTTGCAATGCCAAAGTGCTTCACATCATTTTGTTTGCTCCACAACATACATACACCACCAACACCATGACCACATGGCCCTGAAAGCGTAATGGCTACAGGTCTGTTTAGGCAGTCTGCCCAACTCTGTTCTCTGAAGAAACTTTGAAAAATATCCATGTTTCATTTGTTATTATATTTATATCCTTGCACTAATCACTAATTACAGTGGTATGCAAAACCTGGGCACCCCTGTAAATTTTCAGGATTTTCTAAATCATGGTCTGGATAAGTCATTTCAGTTAAATATATTATATAGGAGACAAACACAGTGATATTTGAGAAGTAAAATGTGCAAGAATTACATTTAAACATTTGGCAGAAGCTTTATTTGAAAGCGACTTATAGTTGTTGCAAAATTAATCATATGCATACATTTTAGGCACCGTTTATTGTTTTTAATACCTTTATCACTAATTATTAGATCTCAGATTTGATTTTGTTACATCAGTGACAGTTGAATCACTTGAGAAAGTATTTAAAAGAGGTCAAATTGTAGCTTTTGCGAGCCTCAAAACAAGTCTCAGATGAGTAAAGATTGTTGAACATCATGGTTTAGACTAGAGGAAGGATACAGAATACTGCCTCAGAGCTTTGTTTAAGCTATCAGTTTCCACTATGAAGAACATTGTGAGGAATTGGAACACCAGAGTCACAGTTCTAGCTAAGATAAGCAGAGGTGCAGGTTAAAATGTTAGATAAACAGAGGTGCAGGATGGTGAGAACAGTCACGGACAACCCACAGACCAGCTCCAAAGACCTGCAGATGAGGTCACTGTGCATTGTTCAACTGTTCTGTGCACTGTATACAAGGGGCTGTGTGGCCAGTGCAGGGACAGGGAATCTTGTTAAAGTTGAGGCTTGCATGGATTCCATCTCAGTCGCCAGACCTGAATATAATTGAACATTTGTGGCGTGATTTAAAGCAGGCTGTCCATGCTCGGAAACCATCAAACCTGTCTTTTCTGCATTGTTTTTTCACATTTAGACTTTCTTTCACATTTCAGTTGTCTGTTATATGATATTTTTAAACAAAATAAAGGAGAATCTATCATAGATCTATCTATATACCCTCGTAGCTAGGTTACAATGGGCTGCTGGAGAGATGCCAGCTTTCTCCTGGCTAAATGCTTCACTAACATTAAATGCATTCTCTGATGGATATCCCCAAAGAAAAAGTAAATTTTAGGGTGGACAATCAAAAATACAACTTTTAAATTTTGACATTAGCTCTGCCATATTTACTACAAACAGTTTGATTTACTGAGATAAAACTAAAGAAATGTTGCTCTGAAAATAATCCCATTTTCAGTCACGTCTCATAAAGCTAATGTGGACTTGAGCTGAAAACCAGCAATTTTTATAAATTTAATCCATGTTATTACTTTCTGCATCATCAAACAAATGCTAACCCATAGCCACAGTGTAGTTGAAGCATTAGTGTGTATGTAAATCAGCTCATGCAGCTCAGAGCTAAATAAAGCATGGGAAATGAACATTCTTCTCAGTATTATCAAAATGAAAGGATTAAAACCACACTCTAAAGTACTGTGAGAATTATGTAAGCGACTCCTAGGTAACGTTTCACCATTTATGTTCACAGCAGTCTAATTATCCTTAGCTTCAAGTCGTTTTATTGAATTCCACAGAGCACATTTTCAAAGTCATGCTAAATTTCTTCCGAATATTAACATAAGAGCTTTTAATGAAGTTCCTTATGTATTTACTCAAACATCTGCATCAGAAAATAGACTTACCTTTCCTGACATTCACCATGAATTTGTTGTGCCTTGGAGGAGAAACGAAAGGGAATACTATAACATTTTAAAGGTTACATTAGCAATTGTGCATATACAAACTGAAAGTTGAGACTGGTTTATACGAAATAAAATATAATGTATATTATAAACTATCCTTTACTCAGAAGTTTGATACTGTATCTCTTTTTTTTTACACCAAAGAAGAAAATGGAAAACGGAAGCTATCAACTTACCTGTTATAGACTTGTCTACGGGTTTCTCTAAAGTGGCCCTTGGGACTAAATGGTGTGTTAATCATCATTTTGTGTTCCTTTAACTCATTGCTCTAGTCTAGACATAAGCCTTCAAAGAAACCTGTCTGGTTTTTGGATGCTTTACATCTGTCTGTTCATGCATTAACTTCACAATCTGTTTCATACATTCCATACGCTTGCCCTTTTGGTGAACAGCACAGCAGAGATAAAAACTTGGAGGTTGCCTTCTCCTTGTCCTAATGGAGGGAAGGTTGAAAGGGTCATTCTGACAAACAGCTCACACTTTGATCTCAGCCTTGGCTCTTAACCTCTGAAACATGTTGCTCTTTCTCTGAGCTTGTGAGTTTTTTGGAGGTGTGTTAATGAAAGATTGCAGCTCTAAATCAAGTGTTTTGACAGAGCTCTGTTCAGTTGTGGTTGTTTCTGTAATTATGTTTCTGTACTTGGACGGTTCAAGCCATTCAAGTCTAACCATTGATGTACTATTAACACTAACAGAAAAAGTTAGACCTTTAAAGTGAATAAAAGAAGAGTATTTGGCTTCCAATTAAATGCAGAGTGGGCAAATATTTATTACTTATTACTTTTTTTGCTTAATTCAACGCCTCGTTCTTTTTATTGCAGAAGGCAAAAGTTCTGATGTTTAGAGATATTTTAAAAACATAATTTTTTTAAGTTTAGGGTTTGCATGAACACTTGGATGTCCGCGAGCTTGTTGAGTTTCAAGTTTCTGTAATAAATTACCCTTTTTGTGGCAATGTTTGATATTTTTGGTACAACAGCAGCTATTTAAAATATTCATTGCATTACACAATAATTTCACAAAAAAATCTGAGTATTAATTTTTTGTCATTTTTTTACTGCAAAAAAACGGTTTTATTTTGTTTTATTACAAAAATCAAAAGTATTCAGAAAAACAAAATTCCATAAATCCCCCCAGAATAGCAAAGACCAAGGTCAAGACAATGTGAAAATTGTATAGAAAACCAGACAAACCTTTCTTAAACCATATACACTGTTCGAAGCAGTTTTTGTGCCATTTGAAAAACACTAGCCATATTACAGGTCTTGTACTTCCAAAGGGTTATCCCTCATTTTCACCACTAGATGGCACTGATTTGGAGTCTATAAGATGAAACTGAAAGACAATTGAGCATTTTCTCAAATTTTAATTTGAACTACTTATGCCTCATAAATCTTGTAATGTTCATTTAAAACCATTCATTTATTCATTTTCCAACCCGCTTATTACCGTTCAGGGTCACAGGGGTCTCCAGTGCACACTGGGCGAGCTATCTACTGAATTTCATTACCTTGCATGAAAGTAACAACACTTACTTGCATTTTTTCATGCACTCGCTCCAGTTTTCTGTTTCCAGTCATTTATTTGAATTTTCAGCAAAAAAACTTTTGAGAAATTGCATACCTTGTCTTTAATCAAATGCTAATGTTATATTGTTGAGTGAGTAAATTTTTCTTTTAATTTACATCTAAAGCAATAGTTTTTCTGTATTGTGTTACTTAACGTTCAGTTGTCAAAAGTATTCACTCATTTGCCTTTAGACTATTATAAACTTATGCGACATACCATTCTTCATCTATAGGCATTTTGACTCTTTGCTGCCCAATTTGCATTTTTGAGATCACAAACTAATGTTTTATAGGAATTAGGAGTTGTTGTATTGATGTTCTATCAAGATTGAGTTCAGGACTCAGTCCAGGGCAGACATTTCAAACTCACTAAACCTGATCCTTGTGGCTCTTTCTCTTTCTGGTGTAGACATGATGGAACAGGAAAGAGTCTTAAAGATGGGATCATGGAATTGTCCCACTGAAAGTTGGATATTCAGAAGCATTCAAATACATTTTTCCAGCTCCTGAAAAACAACCACCACATTAATCCCCCTCTACCAAACTGTACATTCTGACTATTTATTTTATACTCCAATTGTCAAATTCAGACTCATGCACTTAATTGAGCAAAAGAGAGCATGATTTATTTCCCCAGAGAACACATTTCTGTTGCTCAGTGGGATGCAAACCCATAATGTTCAATGTTGTTGACACCAAATTCAGACCCTACCACCAGAATGTTACAGAAGAAATCAATACTCACTAGACCAGGCAATGTTGTAACGTTATAGCTCGATTGTAATGAGTGAGTATCAGAACTTCTTTCTATCAGCTGAACCAGTCTGACCAAGGCATTCTGACCCACAGAGCTGCCGCTCACTGGATATTTCTTTTTTCCATTCTCTGTAAACCCTAGAGATTGCTGTGTGTGAAAATCCAGGTTTCTGAAATATCCAGACCGACCCGTCTGGCACCAACAACCAGTCACTTAAATCACCTTTATTCTCCATTTTGATGCTCGCTTTGAACTGCAACAGATTGTCTCGACCATGTCTACATGCAAAAATACATTGAGTCAACAAGCAGTTGAACAGATGTACCTAATAAAGTGGCCGATGAGAATATGTGTAGCATAAGTTCTGTTTTGTTCTAACAGCTTTATCTCGCTAATAAACAAACCACTAAATAGAACACATTTGATCAGTTCTTGCTTTCCCTGGGGTTCAAACCCCTGATCTTTGCTTATCAAGCGCAATGCCCTACTGACTGAGCCACAGGTAATAATTATAATAATGTAAACTACATTCAACACTACATGCTCTCTCTAATGTACAATGGTCTTGAGAGTATACCGTGTAATAGCCAGGTTGTTCTCATAATGTAATATATGCAAATTTAACATATGTCTTAATATATGTACAGTATATACCTACATACTGTACTCGTGTGTGTGTGTGTGTGTGTGTGTGTGTGTGTTAGACTACGTTGCAGGTTCAGTTCCCAGCTGTTTTGAGACTGAAGGTGGGATGAGTGATCGTCTGATAACCCTAAGCAAAGCATCAGATCCATATTTCCATTTTGATTTGTATTTCACCGTTGCCAATTCTTCCAAAACTACACAAATAGTACAAAACCCACATAAATGTAGAGGTGGATGCAAGTTATGCAACAGTATTTTTTTCTGTGCTTTCTCAGAATTTACTAATTCTGTAAATAAGAGATTCCAGTAAAAATTGAAAAGAGATTCTGACGGATTCATTTTTGGATTAAGTATGAGATGGTGCTTGTTTATTAAAACATCACTACTACGAGTTTATGCAAATCTGGAATGCAAAAAATACATCTTTTTGAATTGGATACGAGGGATAAATTTAAATTATTAAACTAACTGTGCTAAGGGTAAGGTTGACATATAGGCTCGATAGAAGTGTACTCAGCGTTAAAGCAGTATAAGCAAGAGCCAAGCGGGGTTAATAGTCCTGTCATGGAGTCATAAATGGACTTGAACTCAGATGGACGTTCAGCAGATATTTCACAGAGATGATTTTTCTGTCAACAAACACAGACAATATCTCCAAATCTGAAGTCTGAGGCCTTGACTCCATGTTGTTATCTTTCTCAATCACCCATAGCATTCACCAGATGACTTGTAGAAAAGTACGCTGGGAACAGTAACACTGCGTTGTTTTCCTCACCCCCCAAAAATTCCAAGAATGTCTTTAGATGAATTCATAAATATCTGAATGAATATTCGTATGTGTTCAATCATCTGAAGAGTGCCTAAGCTTTCTGAGTGTTGCTGGAAGCTGTGGTGATAACGCCAGATGTGTGTCAGAAAGCAGCTCTCTGACTGACTGCCTGTGCATCTCCAATGTTCCCTCTCTTGTTTGCGCTTGTGTTAATCTTGCATATGGACTCAAGCTTTGGTTCCTAATGTGTTCTCTTGTTAAATATTAGCCTGTTGCACTTTAAATTGTGCTCCAGTGTCTCTGGGGAATTCTTGTGAGTGGAAATGAACATTCTGGTAGCATTCGGTGTTTACTTAGAGATAACTAGGATCACATTCAACAGCACAAAGCATATATTTTCTCAGCTCAGCTTTATTTGGTATTGCTGAGAACACTAAGCCAGAGAAATGGAGCATGATGGTAGCACCAGCTGAAAACAGAAAAACACACTAATGAATGGAGCAGTTGGCCAACAGCTCGCGTGTGTGCGTGTGTATGTGTAGCATTGGGGTGATACAGCTTGTTTTCTTACTTAAAATGCACCATTTCATGCACCAAACACATTTCATTACAATGACTGAATGCCGGCGTATTGGTGGTAGCTGATGGCGCCAATGTAAGGTGTTGCTGGGGGTGGTGATATTTTATAAAGATGTCCAGTCCACTAGATCCTCCCCTAGAGTTACAATCCAGTTGTGATTGTAAATGATTCACATGGCTGTGTGTGATGATGGATTGGCGACCTGTAGGTTGTTGTAGATCACCCTTTCCATTTAGGATGTAATCAAATTCTCATGGTGTCGTAAATGTGGTTTTCCAAGGGTTGATCTGTTAAGCTGGTACACAAGGTTTCTTCTAAATACCAGGTCTTTATTGTGCCACCATTGATCAAACAAAACCGACATAAAGCAGCAATTAAACAAACAAACAAAAAAAACACAAATCAACAAATGCTGAACAGCAAAACCTACTTAACTTAAACTGTAAGGGCTTCAAAAAGAAGAGGTGTACCTCTCTCTCAAAAGTGAAGGTTCAGGAAGCACAAGTTCACTGAATCCGCCCATACAGAGCCCGCAGCATCTCTTTCTCCTTCCCTCAGTGAGTCCTCAAGAGCACTGACACCAGGCCCTTAAATATGACTGGTTTCCCAGCATGCCAATTGAGACCAACCATTATTGGGTAAGTCTGCCTTTCATATATTCTAAAAAGAATTGCTAACCTGCAAAATAATACACAATAGGGTTTGATCACCTTAAGACACAAACAAGATTTGTGTTACAACGATCAAATAAATGGCCAAAACAAATATACTGCAATTTTCAGACTGTGATTCTAGTTTAACACTTAAATGGGTCTCCTCTCTTCTCTTCCAGAATGGATTGTCCCGGGCTCGGCCAATCTGGATGGGACACAACACAGCTGCTCAGCTTGTCAACATATTGCTTACACAAGCTTCTGTTGCACCATTCATTAAATATATATACAGTGGTACCCCGAGATACAAAACTAATGCGTTCCAGGGTGACAAATTTTGCATGTAAAAGCCTAATCCATGCAACGGCTCTCAGAAACAACAGTTTAGGTAGATAAAAAAATTGAAAACCAGAGAAAAATCAAGTAATGTTTCTTCAATCCTTAAATCTACACATTGTCATGTAATAAATGATAATAAAACATGCGCAATATAAGTAATAGGTACACAAAAAGCGCAGCGCGACGTGAGACAAACAAGTGGAAAATAGAGTAGAAATGTTTGTTATTGTTCGTATCTCTAACTTTTCTTCGGATCTCGAAGAAATTAAGATATATAATTAACATTGTTTTTTTTTTGCTTCAGATTGAATAACATTTCAACTTGGTAACAGTGGGCGGCACGGTGGCGCAGTGGGTAGCATTTGTTAGAAGGTTGTCAGATCGAGGCTCACTGGTGACCTTCCTGGAAGCAATCTGCATGTTCTCCCGGTGCTTGCCTAGGTACTTCAGTTTCCCCCACAATCCCAAAAACATGCGGTTAGGTCAATGGAATAATCTAAATTCCCAGAATGTGTGAGTAAATGTTGCCCTGTGATGAACTGGAGATAGGCACCGGCAGACCATCGTGACCCCTAAAGGGAATAAGCGGGTTGGAAAATGAATGAACTTGGAAAAAAATGGAATTAACATGATGTTGTTTTTCAATGCTCTGTACACACTCCTGACTTAAACGATAGGGTAGACTTAGTACTACTAGTGTACTCAAAATGGTCCGTCATGTTAAGAACATAAAACCAGCATTTCAGCTTTTCATTACACCATCAATTGAAAATGATATGCTTGAAATGACAAACTTAGAGAGGGAAAAGATGGATTTGCAAACACGTCCAAAGGAAGCAGCAGCAAGACTTTGGAATGCTGACACTTGAAGGTCAATAATTCCAGCAAGCATGTTTCTGAAGACATTCCATGTTTACTCCAGTGTCAAAAGCTGTGATGATAAAGAAACAAGGCAGGGCAGACAAGAGTATATATTTACGGCCATACATATGTTCTAGTCCTTGCTAAAATACATTCTTATTATTTTCATATACTATAAATAACAGAAATATTTACCAGTAAAAGTACAAAATCAACAAAATGTCATATATATATATATATATATATATATATATATATATATATATATGTATATATATATATATATATATATATATATATATATGTACTTTTTAGAGGTAAATATAACTAAAAGGAACTATACGAGGCAATATATTTTTAACTATAAAGGCTATAACTCAAATCAAACCTAGTATTGGTGGACCCACAAAAGCGCACCACGGTGAGTATAGCAGTCAGACCAAGCTGAGTCGGGCAGTTACTGAAATCCTTTGGAAAAGCAGCATTTAAGCAAGCCAGGGGAGCAGAATGAGGTACGAACAACAGATCCTCAGATCCATTGTAAGCGAGCCCTAGGTATGTGAGCTGTTTGTGAATGATGAAAGCATTGATGCCGTGGTCTTGTCCAATTTGGGATCCATTTACCAAAGCCACATCACACCACAGACTGTTCAGAAGTTTACTGGATTAAATGTCTCAATACAGATCTGGCAGGACAACCATCAATAGAACAAAAGTTACAAAAGATTAAACGTCCAAATGTTGCATCAAGGAGGCTACTTTCCACTTTTCTTTAGAGTATGATTCTGAATACAGACCTCCATGGAATATTCTTTTGGATTTTACTGATCACACTTGATTGTTATCACAAGCCATCAATGATGTAAAACAATTATTTCTTTCCTTGGTATTTAAAGCAGTGTAGTTGGGATTGATCACAAAGAGAATTCCGGTATATTGTGCTGGTGCTCAACTGGTTTTAAGTCCCAGGTCAGTGCTAAGTACTGGTTTGGAGACTGATACTTACCAAACAAGGAAGCCATCCTCATTTTTTTCCAACCACCAGTGAGGTTTTCCTGTGCTATTGCCCATCTGAGTTCAGAGAAACTCCTTTGGTATCAATTGCTTTCTATGGATTCCACTGTACATTTTTCCCTATACATTAAAAGGTTTGCATGTACATATCTGCTATAAATCAGTAGTTCCTCAACATAAATTTGTTTGATCATTTCTGAACTGGATCATGCCAAACAAGAATAATGGGCTAATTTGTGGTTCGCCGGTCTGAAATTTGCATTTGATAAGGTGACAGGGGGTTTTATAACTTTTAATCGAGACACCACCAGGGCCTGCCCTGTAGTAGGAGATGAAGTGGTGAGTACTAATGTACAAGGCAGGCTGTCCAGACATGGATCATATCCATGTAATACCCCCCCGTGAGGAGTTCTGGGGAGGAAGGAGGGTGAAGCTCGGACAATGTCAACTAGAGGCCAAGTAAGGCTGGCTTATTTATTAACCTGGCTTAATGGATAGATAGGTGACAGGTGCAGTTCCCTGATTGTTTCCTCCCAAAATTCATTATACAAATGTCACAAAAACATTAAGCAGCAGCATGATATTGAAAAATGGACCACTGTCACTGTTTTGTTTATCAAGCATAACTGCTAGAGCAGATGGTCT